CAATATTTATGGTTATTTAGCTTGTTTTCAGAGAAAAATAAGGGGGTTATTTTTTTCCGAGTCATTTTTTCACTATGTCATTCATTCATTTATACTTTGTTAAACTTATATTTAGTTTGCTGATTGAATATTTGGTAAAATAAATAAATAAATAAATAAATAAATAAATAAATAAATAAATAAATAAATAAATAAATAAATAAAAATTATTCTGCAGGAAAATAATATCCAGGAAAATAATCGCATTGGTTAACAAGGTTAACTTGCCACCCACTATATGAATGATCTATTTAGAGATGTTGCTCTATTTACCATCTATACACATATGAAAGTAAGCACCCTCTGCTGATTTTCACCTGTTATCTCACATGGCCTTAAGATGGCGCCACAAAACCGGTTATTTTATCCTAGGACGAACTATAACTAACCAAGAAGCTTTCCCTGGGTACTTTTTTTAAAAAGTAAATAGAGCTGCAAATATATGCTTTTCTTTGTTACGCTTCTTCACACTATTTAATTTTGCCATTTGATAATCCTTGTTAATTAATTAAACAGTGATGGAGCCTTTTAGAAATTCACCAAGTGGTTTTCATTTTCTCTTGTATGATTGTTTCAGTAATTATTTTGTAATAAAAAAAAAATAGATTTAATGTTTTAAAGTTATTTTATGCCATCAATCTCCCAGGGTCTGCTGAGTAATGCAAACTGTTTCTTCCAAGTGAAGCAAGTAAGGTTATCTGTTAAACTCAAACATAGAAAATGTTTATTAAATGTTATCCAGTCTGCCTTGAAAGGACCTGTAAATATGTTTTATTGCAAAATTCTTTGTGAAACAATAATAAATCAATGATAGATAACTTTTTTCATGCTGTTCACTCTATCTGTGTTATTTATAAAAGTAGCTTGGGAACCTGGAAGATAAATTTATCAAGCTACATTCTTCCAGACCCTGTGAAAAAGCACACCACAATGAGAAAAAAACAACAACAAAAACCCTCTCCCACTTACTCCATCAGGGTAGGGATGGGGCCAGTGCCTATCTCTGGGCGGGGGGATGGGGTACGCCCCGGACAGGTCATCAGTCTGTTGCAGGGCAAAAAAGAGACACACAAAGGCAAACAACCATGCAAACAAAAACTCACACCTAAGGACAATGCAGAGATGCGCATTAACCTAACAGGCTTTGGACTGCTGGAGAAAGCCCGAGTATCTGGAGAGAATCCATGCATGCATGGAGAGAACATGCAAACCAAATGCAGAAGGACCTTTGGCTGGGAATCAAACCTAGAACCTTCTTGTTGCAAGGCCAAAAGTGCTACAAACTGCTGCCCACTTGCAGATCGTGCATGCTACAAATGTAAACATTGCCATGTGTTATTATCTAAGAGGATGTTTAGTTCCAATGCCTTGCAAAAATAAATGAAAGACTTAATTAAAAATATCTTCTCTGCCTTCCACTGGGGTGCCTGAGCAGAGCAAAGTAATCTTTTCAAATTGCATTATCTGTGTAAGCAAACAAAGCTATATAGAGATATATTGCTGTCACCCTTGGATTACAAATTACATGAAGGCTGAAACACCAGTCTATTCTGTTCACTTAGCTGCCTTTACTGGAATTTCTCTGGAGACACTGGGATTTTTAAAAGAAGTGAACCAAAATAAAAGTGTGTTGCAGCAAAATGCAAGCGTTTATCAGTGGAAGGCCTTGTGGTGCTAGATTGAAGATGTACTCAAAACATATTTCAAAGGTGCAATGATTTAAATTAACAATACAGCTTGTGATAAATTAAATTTGACCAGAATTAGCAAACAAACTCCTCCTCACCATGTTGTTACTGTATGGTTGACTTACAAGGAAGAACAAGTTTAGACCTGTGAATATAAACCTCCATCTTTTATATTAGTACTCCACAACCTTTATCTCCTGTGAGGAGGAGATAATATTTATGCATTCACTGTGTTTTCATCACATCATAATTTAGGGGAAAACTCTCAAGGTTACACTAAGGTGATGGACCACACCAGGTTCACAGGATTTACTGGATGACAGATATTTGTTTAACTCCATGCTTTCTTTTGTTAGTGACTCCTGCCAGTTTGTGGGCAGGGGGTTTGCAGATTTATAGGTTGTACAAGGAAAGGGTGCAAATCCCAAAGGGGTTCATTGAGGTTTCTTTTAACACTGTCGATTTGCATTGTGACAGTTGAATAACAAACATAGAAGATTTAGAGAGCGACGGTTCTAGGCTTACATTTTGCACGTTTGGCAGTTTTGTATTTCAGCTCTTTTCCATCAGCTTATAGCTCCACCAACATGCTGCATGTTTATGTACCTAGACTAGTGTGTGTATAGTCACCAGAAATGCACTGGAACAAGTGTGACTAGTGGTTTTCGCTATATTTTTTGTTGATGGTATGTATAAAACATGTTTCACATTTTTATCTCCTGCACACAGATTCCCATGGTAGGATAAGATTGTTTTAGATTTTGTGGCCTTCAGTTGTTTTCTGGCACAGAGACATAAGAGTTACTAAGGATGAGATCATTTAACACAAATATGTTTGAGTTGTGAAAAAAAGTTTTAATTTTTTTTTACATAAAGTTGTTCTTAAGCTGTAAGTGTTTTACAAGTTCATCACATTTGACAAGTTTGCTCTTGGTGAGGATGACCCCATTTTGACTGTTGCTTTTGTACCAATGTTTTAATTTCAACATTTACACACGTTTCATTTACTGAAAAGCTCTTGTTCTGGATTTGGTGTTACAAAGACCCAGCCACTTGTTTCAAGCCTACTGTCATAGATCTATTGGTCATAGATCATAGAGCTATAACAGACATTTTCACCCCGTAAAATAAAATATGCCTGTGCAAATTAGGAATTGATAATAACACTTCCTAACCTTGCATTTTGATATTAAGTGGGTGTATTTTAGCTGCTAATTATTTTACCACTAGGGGGCACTCATTGAGTATACATCCAGGGTCAGCAACACAGTGCCAACTGGCATCTAATCCTGTAGAACCACATGGCCGCACTACCCACTGGGTAGCTACATCTATAATTCAGTTTTTTACATTGTTTCTTTTTTAAATTCCACTTGAATTTATATAGATTAAAGAAAGACAATTTTTATTTTACAAAGTGTTGAAGTATGTTTATTATACAACTTGTGTAGGTGAAATGTTCTGGCATAGAGGTCAGTACTGGTAGCCTCCTACTCTATATGGCTCATTACTCATGAAGTAGTTTTTGGTTTAAAAAGGTTGGTAACCACTGCTGTACATATATCTCAAAATTGGCCTCCATGGTCAGGCGATTATTGTAAAGATGACATTTTTGGTAAAAATAAAAAGATAAATTTTCTTTTTGCCACAGAACAATATTGTAGGCCTACTTTAATACCTCCATCCCACTACATACAAATAATACTGTAGATGCATCAATAGAGACAGGCACACTTAAAACACATGAATGTTCTTGATGTGTCACGAGATGGGCTTCCTTATCTCACGTTTACAACTGCATAAAAGTCTCACAGATATTGCAAAACTTCAATATGTATATTGCTGTACTCATAAAGAAATACACAAATGGAGTGAAAAAGCTAAATTTTTATCAGTTCAGCTTAATTTAAAAAAAATTCTTAAATCAATTCTGCTACTTTGCAAGAAAAATAATTACAATTCATATCCATTTTGAAATATATATAGTAAAATTATAAAAGGTTCTGCCAAAGAATACAATAGAGATATTTGAATACATACGCTTTTTCTTTCATACATTATGGACAACTTCAGCTGAACCTTTCGGCTACTGGTGGGAATCACTGCAGTGATGTGCAGTTAATTGAGACAAGTGAGCATTTGAGGACATAAGTGGAGAGGCATGAGGACCGCACTGTTCTTCAAAGCCATAGAAAGGTCAATAAATCAACATGTATAAAGCCTCATCATGTCTGCATTAATGTACATTCAAGCCACACTGTGCTCAGCACATGTTCTAGCATGTTTGCAGGGCTAATACATCCCATGTGTTCTCCCGTCCAAGTTAATACATGTCTCGTTGTGTATCTGACAGTAATTATAGGGGTGGGCCGGGATCTCATCCGGGTGCATCAGACCCCTGCCATGCTGCTGTTAGCGCAGTAACAGGTGTGGGTTTATGTTTCCAAACAACCACATTATAACCTCTCACCACTGTGCTCCTGAAAAGTCGCTAAATTGGTTTAGTACATGGAACTATTTAAAAGATTAAGCCCAAGCCAAAGCAGGAAAATAATAATCTCCCAGTAAAAAGGTTTAAAGAGATCACTAAATCGCACACAGCTGCATGAAAGCCGGTCTTAACATGTCTATCTGTTCCAGGTCAGTCTTTGCCAGTGGATTACTGTGAATTCACGCAAAATTGTGTATTTAGCAGACCTCAGACATGGCTTGAACAAACCACAGCAATATGAATCAGAATAAGGCCAGTGTTGTGATCTGACATGTCTCACAAAAACCACCAGAACCCTAGTTAGAGCCTCCATCTTCTCCATACATACATGCTT